ACAACTAATCAAAGCATATTTAATAGAGAAATACCATAAAGCAAAAGGTCCATGAGACGTGAGATAGTCACGTGAGATAGATCACGTAATTCAGTGACACGTTCCCGTAAACATTGTAATTTCCACATTTGAATGTCATATTTATATTCTGTAAGATTGCCTCCCATTAAGTGTTGCATCTAGTCTGGTCCCTTTACCATTATCCAGTTCCTTACCGTGTCAAAAAGTGTGTATACCGGTGAGTTGTAAGCAAGGGGGCACATTACAATGTAAGGACGTGATGCAATTGTAACTAAACTGATACATCTACAACATCATTTACCATGAACATCTTGCACTGCTGTACGAGACATATTCGTATCGAAGATAAATAAATCTTAATCATTCGAGACAACGACGAAGTAAACGATTCATTCAAATAATAATTCCAATCCAAGAAACATCTTTATTCATTGTTGATGGGGTTGAAATATTTGATTATTACCATTTTCATTTATTATTTCATCTTACAACAAAATCCTGTGAAATCAATAATAATATACACCGTTGGAATGTATCAAAACAAACATTCACTATTTTTGATATTCTCAGAGTGCGAAGAATGTTTACTTTGACCAGTTTAACAGCTTATTACATAGACTTCAATATGATGAATTTGTAACATAGAAGACCAAGTTAACCTCCTTGCTAACTAGCTCAAAATAGTCCTTTGATATTCACAAATTGTGAGAAAATGCTTTTTTGACCAGACAAACGCACTCTAAAAACGTTATAGGGGTCATTTAGCTGACTTTCATTAGCTCACTTTTATTTTGGAGTTCTAAGCTGTACAGAGTGTGCAAAAATTAGGAGGAGTTACTCTTCATCAAACATAAGAGGTTGGTGTAGAAACATACTCCCCTTAAACTCATATACTCCAGTTTCTACGACATACATGTTATGCGGCATTAGAGAGGTCGTCCAAAGTTACAAGGCAATGCAAAATATCACTCATACAGGTAAACGGGTCAGAAAGTCATAACTGGCCAAAACATAAAGGTTTGCAGCAGTTTTATGTCAAGTACAACTTCATGAAAGTCAAATATTAGAGATACAGGAAGTGTAAATATCAATTTGACAGTGCTTTGTGTTAAGCTAGACATATTGGTAGAAAGATGAATGACAAAATACTTTGTTTTGTTTTGCTTTGCAATTGTTTTGTCGATATTTTTCTATTTTTGTACTGAGCATTAGCAACCCTATATACACACGAGTATCTAAACAGCTTGTTTATTTCGATGTTTACTAAAGAGAAGAAATGATTTCGCCTCTCTTGTTTCTTCTTTTACAGCTGTACTTTGTGTAATTGTTTTCTTCATTTGATTGTTAGCTTTTGTCTTTCATACCAGCCTCTATCAACAATGCTGTCGCTGGCGTTGATCCAAATGACAATTTCAGGAGAAATGACCATTCTAGGCTATTCTAGGATTAGACGCGCCTCACTCTTATGTTATTAGATGCATTGCACAAGTGCCAAGCCAAAGGGACGGTTGTTACAGAACCTACATCTTGGATTAGTTTATTCATCTGTTAATTAGGGTGTAGTTATTTGATCAGATTTTTAGATGATGTATTTTTGAAAATCTTTACTAAAGTGCAAATATGTCGCACGTCTAATGACACAGCCTGTAGATTTAGATCATATTTTAGTCTCAATTTAGTAACAAATGAAGTAAAAAGGTATAAACACTACCAACATCATGTAATAAATGATCGTGGCTGGTTATTGATTAACTATTTTTTGAATGTATTCTGTAACAAGAACGAAACAGTCGCAGTTTATTTCTGAACTATTAAAGGTTGGAGTATGTTATGATTCTTGAAGCATCGATCATTTTTCTTTATGAGAGCATATTAAACTTGTTTTCATTCAGTTCTGACAAAGGAACTGAGAGTGGTTTTGATGTTTCAATAGACTCTGCTTAAGAAAGTGAAAGTTTGAAACATGACTTCAAACAAGGTTTAATAGAAGCGTTTGTAATCAGTTGATGGTGCTGACATAAATCTTATTCTTTCAGATCTAACACTGTTGTTTTACTGCATAGTGTTGTCGCGTTGAATGATGCGTGACGCGTGCCGTTGTAACGGGGCTAGGTGTTCCTTTGAATAACAATACCCCATATGACATCTAACGATTCCTTATTAGTTAATATGCAATCGGCGGCAAATTGGGCGATTTAAAATGATGATTATGATCTTAGAGACTTTAAATTCCTTCAGTTTGTGATACAACGTTTTAAAACATTCACTGATCTGTGTGCCATTTTTGTCAAAATGTTTTTTTTATTTCAATGTGAATAGAATTGCCTTGACCTGTATTCCTTTGATTCAAAAGTACACGTTGTGCTAATCGTATAATACGAATTCATGCTCCGTAACTTTCTCTTAAGTAAATTATGGTTTACGGGTTTCATATTGACAGGTCTCCTTTGTCATACTAAAACAGTAAATCTCATCCTTTGTAAACCTAAGCAAAGGACGAATAATCACACTAAATGTAACATATGAACGCGCATCAAAAGATGATGGTACAGCACTAAGATACATCCAAAACACGCACGTCTCTTAATTATCATCAAATGTCAAGATCTGTAATAAAGTGTTTTTCATTCACAATAAGGTGATAATGTCAACCGAGAGTACATTGGAATGTGACACTGAATAAATCAACTAATCTTGCAAGAGGTGACCACGGTCCACTGGTTGATCCAATTGGAAACTTAAATGATGAGTTTGATTAATACATTCACTGTATGGTTGATTAGAATCTCCAAGTATTGTTAAAGGTCTGTCCACAAACAAAACTATCCAATTTGGACCTCCAAAGAATTACATTCTTCATCTTCAACAACAGACAGGAGAAACTTTTGTTTCCTATGGTAATGTCCGAGTTTCCATTTGTTCCCTTATCGTCCATTTAATTAAACATTCAATTCCATTATTGGACGGAATAAGGACTAACATTAGGGGAAACGAACACCATCAATCCTCGTCTCCAATTATCAGGAATTGTCCAGCCTGATTTTATCCTGTCTTAAACGGTCATTCAGGTTTTACACGATCGCTTTTCTAAACTGAAGATTAAGTCAAATCTTTAATGACAGTCATTTGACTAGTAAACGAATTATCTGACATGGTTGCAATTAGCCAGCCGTTTCAATGGATTATCTTTTCTAATTGAAAATCATGAAAATAGGTGATTCAGATTTACATCTATTAAATCCGGGCAATGGACACTCCTACATCTGTGGATATTAGACTTTAATTATATTCATCTTTTCAGATGATTTTTGGACTGCATTGCTCTGTTCAAACAAGATCTCGTACAATACAATAAACTTGCGGGCATCTGTACACAATATAAAGGTAACATTGGCAATGATAACCGATCATAGGAAACCAACCCCCGATATCCCATTTGGTACCAAAGATACATAGAAGTAGTAACACGCCTTGTTTAAAGATCGAAAAACGATTATAACATGCGAGTTGATATAATTCACTGAAAATTGGTAAAAGTGAACGTGAGTGTCACCGTGTTCAAATAAGTGGAGAAGGACTCAAGCTATTGCATGCATTGTAATACATATTGCATACGAGGTGTATATTTATCAATATTCTTACAAACAATTGTCACATAAATTATTCTTACAGATAATACCATTGTTGTCAATGGCAATTAACTTCAAACATTGTATGATATGTGCACATGTCCTCCAGACAGCACAAAACACACCACAGCCAAACATATATCACAGTAGCCCAATTGAACTAGAAACTTTATCAATTTTGCCCCAGTGAAAAAGATGGAAAATGATAAAATGATATAGTTATGGCGTTTTCCGACGTAAAGGGAAGAATATGGTTGAATTAACCTCAAATTGACTTAGAGGGAGTACCTGGTATTTACATCTCGTGAATTCAAAAAATAAGTTGAGATTACACTCCTTTCAAAGCAACAAGTCAAGTGTCATCTGAGGCATATCGGGTCAAAATCATATTGCCCGAATGTAAAGCAAATTAATCATATTATGTAATGTAAGGATAATTTGAGGATACCAAAATGTATATACTTTTATTTTAGTTTAGCAATATCCTAAATTAGCTTCACGAAACTCACAGAGGGCAACATATTTAGACCAATACAGGTCCCTATAGAAGAGCAACATTATATTCCATGTATATAGACGCCGCGACAATTAGTTAACTCCATAGTTATCTCAAATTTCATCTTAATGTATTTTAAGTTATTAGATATAATATGCATGTTTAAAAAGGTAAGGACAACGGTATTCGATAGCTAAGTCATGTAAATAGATCATCGCAAAATAGACACGTGAACCATGAGACTGGTCAAATGAAAGACGATTTAATGCATAGGGAACAGGTTTAGTTGTGTGAAACCGATACAACTTTTGATCAAGCAAGGGGAACGGGTTTTAAAACATATGCTAATGATCAAATTTCCCACTTTGTTGATTTCCTTTGATATTTTCAAAGACCCATAAAGTATCCTCGATATCTATGACTCCATCTTGAAACACTTTTAAAATGGACATATTTGAGAAGCAGAATGAAGTTTGTGTAATAAAATGGAAGAAAATGATAAAGCATATTTTGATTAACAGGTTTCATCAACAAAGCATTGCAATTATTATATCCATCCTAAATACTTACCATGCATGATCATGTTAGCTTTAATGCTCTATGTAACGCTTGCGTAGCAAATTCATCTGTGAAAATCGATTGTTGAGGAAATTATAGCCATGTTTCATCTATCTCCCAAAAAGCCATTTATATCTGTCACGATACTTCGTTTAGAATCCTTAATTCTATGCTCATTCTTGGCAGAATCCATTTTTCATCCTACATTACGCTTTACGGACTGAATACTTCCCTGAGCTCTGATTGGTCGTTGGCGTTGTATTCATGCATTTGGAAGATTTTTTTCGAAAGTAGTTCGGACCTGTAAGCATAGTCTCTGGAAACTTTACCGCAACGTCTAGACTCCATCTAAATTTGAAACCATCAAGAAGTGTTTGGAAGTTACGTGAAGCACGTCTTTCCGGGAGTGATTTGCAGTGTTGCGGACCTTCAAGCAGCAAGACGAGACCGATCATAAAGGTAACAATATGCTTTACCCATCTTCAAGCATGTCGTTATTATATCCTCAAGAGGGGCACGTAAAACAACTAGTCGCAATAAATGTCAACTTAACGGCATCTTGATAGCCAAATCACAACAGATGACTGAAAACAATTCTCATAAAATAAATTTTATTTTCGACACGTTGAACCATCCGATTGTTTATATATATGATTATACATTGATACGATGAGTGGTAGTAGTTTTAAATATCACTTTTCTTTTGGTGTTAGTTTACACAATTGTGTCAAGTTCTAACCATTAAGATACAATTAGTTTGAACGTAAATTAGATAATCTTAGATATCATCTAGAACCACTAACGAGAATATACTGACTACTAATGTGGACTTTTCCCATTACAAAGATTAGCTGTTTTACCCCGTGATAGAATATATACGACCTATTTGTTATTGTTGGTGATTATAACTCTTACTAAGTTTCCATAACTGTCATAAACGGTCATTATTTACTTTAATCGGAATAACCTGTTGTAGAATACTTCTAAGGTCATAAACATGTATAACTATTAACCCGTGACTCTTAATACCTCTTTTAACATGCCCTTAAGTAATTCAATTCCAATAAAATAGTCGTTTCTGATTCCCTTTCATTATCTTTACCTATGATGATTGGCATTAATGATGATTGACATTTCTAATGAAATGTTTTAAAATTATTGCAGTATATTGCTAAATTGTAGTATGCGCTTTCTGGTTTCTTTAAAAACAATGATGATAATCAGAGAACCATGTTGTTGGTTAGATACAATACTACATTACATTGAAGTCTTTAGATACAGGTATAAAATTGAATATATAAGCACAAATGCCAAAAGGGAAGGGTGACTAAAAACGTTAAGGAAACCCAACAAGAGACAGATACATGGTAAATGTAAGTTATAATTCTGCACAATCCTATTCTGCGACAACAAAATATTTTCCATATCATTTCACTCGTGTGTATCCGTGTGTTCAAATTGATACCATTGCACACTTGTATCTGATAAACCTAGAATTAATTGACCCGTAATAACCTTTATCAGAAGCTAAAGTGCTCCATTTAGTATCCTTGTCACAATAATATACACTCTACATCTATTTTGTTTTTATTCTAAGCAGCAGATGCAGAACTCAAAATATAAACAGAATTTTAAACTTCAAGTTACTTTACCGGTATCTTAAACTCATAAAATAAATTTAGATGGAACATAATCCTTTGTCCGGTGAGGTATGTGCAGACTATATATTGCAATACAAAACATGCCTCCAGTCAAACAAATGCCAGGTCTCAGGGCATTTAAAGAAAATATCAATTCACTAAAAGTACTTTTTCAAACCTCTTACCATGAAATAGAACATACTGTACTGTGTAAAAATATAGTTGATTGGAAATGTGGGGCAGGTCTGGGATTCGTTTTCCTCGAGGAACTTGGTTCGAATCAGGAGTCTCTCTTTCTCGTCTCTCTTCAGATAGTTTTGTTATTTCCATTCCTCGCTCGGATGTAATACTTTACTGATATAATAAAAACTATTTTGAACTCTAAGAAACAAAAACACACCGAGTTTTATTTTACTAGAATACACGGGGGTTAATTGACATCTGGAGTTATCTAATTTCAAATAAACAAGGCATTGGAAGTTAACACATTTTCAAAGCAATTTCTAAACACTTCGGAGGTGCCTTGAAGGATTTCATCATTGCGGTTTATCCATTGAGCTTATGTTATGTCCCTTAGCGACCTATATCACTAACGAATAATTATTAAACTTCTCACCGTGTTAATGCATTTTACTTAATTTCCCAATGTATCGTCTACACGACTAGAATACTAATTCGTGGTATCCTTACACACAAAATAGTTCCTTTCAGAATTGTGGAGAAATCACTGTCAATAATAATAAACATCGAGTGAGACATCTTTCCGTTTGTTATTGATAAATATTTCATTAATTAAAGTGAAACATTTTTAATATGGTGGCGTCCATAAATTAGATGTTTGTCAATTATGTTACCATGGTTACATTCGTAATGCAAGGGAACACTTCTCATTATTTGAGCCATAACACAGGGACAGGATAAATTATTGAAAAACTTGCTCTCTAACTTTGGCATTCAAAAACAATTTATGAAACAAACATACCTTGTATTTATGAGGAGATGATACTATAGGCTAAACTTAAGTCATTCACATTTAAAATATATCGTATTCATTAACTTGTCATAGTGATAATTTATATTTAACACCCTGTGTTTCATGTAAACTCCGATACACGGGAGGTTCGTGTGGGGTTCCTTTTTCCAAATAGATCATCAATCAACGACGTCGATTCTAGCAATTAAAACTCGGTCATGTTGGCTTACTAGTGAACTTCGGTGACCCCATTTACACCCTAACCCGGGAGTGTTAAATTATCCCCTAGCAAGTAACGCCATCTGTCGACAAGTATTACTCATTTGCGCTCGATGCCTCCCTCGTGTTGTGATGATTCTTAACACTTCAAAGTTGACATTTAAAAAAGAATACACTTGTGTTCATTTATTCTAAACTTCATTATACCACATAGGAAATTCAATAAAGAAAGCTGCAAGTAAGATTAAGCTGGATTTTCTAAAATCAATTACGTCCTTATCACGCTTCACTGAATGGCTGATGTACCAAATAACAAAACGTCAAAATGATACATATTAAGGCATTTCATGCTGTAGACCTTCGATGTATTTCATTGTTTTTATTTATTCAGTTTTCATAAATCTAGAGAAATGTGATTTATGTGCAGGTTTTATAACAAAAATATATATTTATGCTATTTGTTAAATTGTGAATAAGTTGCCTATATGTAGTAACAATATAATTTTATGGAGAAAAAACGTCAGTCATTTACTGCAGATATTTACTGAGACATAACAAAGAAATTATATTTAATCTCGTCGCCGTATATTTTTGCATCAGGTGCTATAGGATATGATATAATCGATGTCAAATTAATAAAATTACTTCAAAAGCAATCATGATTTCAATACTTTGGGCTGTGGTGTGTGCATCATCGATACCATGGCACTCTAACTTGCACTGCCATCACATATTACTTCTTAGCTTTATTCTAGTAAACACAACACATCAAAGTCACGCAAGTCATATGCGGAATTGCCCCAAAGCATAGCTGATCTTCATACTTTGATCTATTTTGTGAAGAATACAAACGAGACTTGTGTTTAAATACATATTTTGTTTGAATCAAAACTGTTGTTTTTGTACTTTTAGAATCTGATTTAGTTGTTGGTCAAGATATTTAGTTATCGTAAGTTTTTGAGGAATGTCATTCACATCACTGATTCCCCAAGAGTTTTGCTGTCAAATCATTAGCTGGTATATTATCAATATCCCTAGTGTCATGGGTTAATAGCCGTGTCATATTTGTGAAATTGTTCAAATGAAACACTTATTAACCTGGTGTCAATACCACCCCTCCTAAACACCATATTTCACATGAAGTTCTTCCAAGACTATTAACACAGATGGTCTGAATTTGTTGCTTCGGTGACTTCAGGGGCTAGATCAACAAACTGGACAGTGTCCACCTAGTTAAGACTGTCTCATTTTGTTTGTTCTCATTCTGTCACGTGTACACTGGACATCTGCTTCTAAAATTAACGGACTCAGATCAGAAAAGCTAAAAATAAAGAAGTGCTGGATATATCTCTTTCGGTTGAATCTCCCCCATGGACCAGCCTGAATAATAAACATATTTGTCTGAATCTAAAGAATCATTTCACAACTTTTCAGACATGAATTATCGCGATCGAGGCTTTACGAATCACATCTAATGGATTTACACTTGTTTCAAATGATCAACACCAATGCTGATGAGGTCTTCCATTTCAACAGTAATACCATTATTAGTCTGATCTTCTTGATCACGACAGAGTCGCGATATAAAGGCAAATGATTATAATTAAATGAGATAGTCCTAGATTAATCTCTCATGGCCTTTTCGTTTCTTGATTTTGATCATAATTTCTGAGTGGTGGCAGGAGATGTGTTGAACATTTCTGTATTCGTAGATTTTGGGAATTTGCTTTCCGTATGACTGATTATACTCTCGGATGCTCTTTTTTGCCCTATTTTTCGTACTTTTTATCTCTCCACCTTTTATGCATGCCCTTGTGCAGTCATATACTCATTAAAATAATCAAATAATGACACATTCAATATGAATATGGTGGAAATGAAGTAAAATTGTGCTTTCCAAAATGTTGACGGAATCAACCGTGGTATTGGCCTTCATAAAATCGATTATAAATATACAATAATTCGCCATCAGATCATTCGTTACGGTCGCAGAATCTACCTATGAGTTATGGCAGTTAACAATTGTAATGTTCAGTGGAATGTTCTGTAGCTCGATCGGTTAGCCAGGTCATCGTGTCTCTGATTAAACATGTTTTGGTGGAATATTGAACAAGATATTGTGTGCGAATCTACCTACTGTGCATTTGAACTATAAAGGTGTAAATCGAGTTGCCCCATTAGCAACACACCAAGAATAGACGTACTCCACATGACAAATGACTCTCTGGTCATATATGGAAGACAGGCCAAGCAGATCTGATCGTATCAGAAGAATCGCCTTTTATTATTAGCTTGAAATTCAATGTGAATGTAAAATAAAATCTACTTATTTTAAGTGACTATGAACAATCGAATAATCATTTATTGTTTAAACGTTGTTAAATGTATATTGTAAGAGATTACTTTGATTTTGGGAGGACGATCTTATACGTCCTGCTTATCTATATTCTAAAGGTAAAATCGATCTCCCCATTACTTTAACAACTGTTGCAGCAATTCTACTATTTTCATAGTGTGTTGTATCATGATTTTGGATATTTGGTTTTGTCCCCCCCCCCTCCATGGTTGGTTTAGGCTTTTGTGTAAGTATGTACTACATCTTCGACTTCCAATTGTGTTGGAACACC